GGCCAGAGGATGTCAGGAAGTGGGAGGGGCTTCAGAGGGGGGTACAGCCCCCTTGAAGTCATCTGCCTGCCTGCTTGGTCAAGGGAGCAGCGCAGCCCCATGTCAAAAGAGGGTGCCCACCCCTGTCCCAGAGGATCATGGGCATTCCCTGCCATCAAAGGGAAACTCCAGGGCCCAGCGATTCCTGGATTGCTTCAGCCAGCTCTTGCCATGGCCAAGTGAGGCCAGATGGGTGCACCGCTGCCCCATCCTCCTGGCTTCCACTTTCAACCCCACATTGCAATATCCAGACCCAAGAACTCTGGGTTGTTTAGGGGCTAAATTACTCAGAGTTAGCACCACTGTCACCCATGGATTGTTGGCCAAACCTCAGCTCTGAACCAGGAACGCTGGGCTGCTTTCAGCCCAGGGCCGAACTCCATTTTAGAGAACCCCTGGAGAACCATTCCGGTGGGGGGTGGGACGGGCCTCAAGGCAGGTCTAAGGGCAGCAAAGGAGGGAAAACAACAGCCTGCTGCAGCCTGCACGCCTGCTGCCATGAACAAAGCCTTGGGAGAAGCATTTCCTGAGGCAGCGCAGCTCTGCTCTAAATTCTCAAAGTGGCACATGCACACCATTGCTCGACACTTCCCCCATCTGATGCCCCTCGTATTCAGATTACAGTGGGCGCGGGCCACCATCCATTTGGAATGGTCCCCGTAGGCCGCAGGGCCGTGCTTGCACCCATTCCACTCCCTGCAAGCCCACCCCATTGCCCAGGTCTCTCCAGCTCCGTGCTCCTGGATGAGGAAGGCGGCCTGCATTGCCTTGCATAGTGAACCCATCTAGGCTACGCCCCTGGCTGGGATCCTGTCTTCCTAGCTGTGTCCCTCTCCCGCCTGCTCCACTCCCAGTGGGCTTCCCTTGGCCTTTGACTCCCAGCCAGCTTCTTCCAACTGACCTGTTGCCACCCAGAAGTTTTGGACTATAATCCCTATCATTTCTGAGCACTGACTCTCTGTCAGGGGCTGGTGGAAGTTAACAGTCAAGATACCAGAATGGTACCAGTTGGGGCAGACTGCGCCCCCATCCCTAGAAGTATGCACCAAAGGATCCAGTAAGAATTCTGACCAGACAAGTGCGGAAGAGCGCTGCTGGAGCCTGCGCACTGGTTGAGGGAACGAGCCACAACAGTCTCAGCAACTACACTGGCGCCTTCCTTAAGAACATCAGAAGCTGTCAGACCATCGGTTCATGCAGCCCAGAACTGGCGACACAGCCTGGCAGCAGGGCCTTCCGGGGTTTCAGGCAGGAACCCTTCCTCAGCCCTGCCTGGGATGCCAGGGATCGGGCCCAGGGCCTTCTGAGAGCGAGGCTGCTGCTCTGCCACTGAGCAGTGTCCCCCCCACCCCCACCCCAGTTCCCAGAAAGAGAAGCTTGGGAAGGAGACCCAGTTCATATGGCCATCAGGAACGCCACTGGAAAGGGCTGGGGTCTCCTGCATGGATGCGGGGCACTGCTGCAGTGCTCAAAGGCCGTGGGGACTTGCACCACTTCAGTGCGCAGAGCACCTTGCTGGATCCGGCCAAGGGTCCATCCAGCTTGCTGCGGGAAGGCTGCGAGGGGCACGTGAGTGCAACACCACCCTACCATGTGTTCCTCACAATGGGTGTGCATTGGCGCACACCCTGCAATAGTGACGGTACCAAACAGCCATCAGGACTAGTGGCCACTGTCTACCCAAATTGGGCTACCCAAATTGGTGGCTGTGACTACCCCTGGTGGCAGCAAATGCCACTGTTCCAGTATATGCTGTGTGGATCTCCCCCCCCCCCACTTTTATCTGGGCTGCATGATCTTTGGATGATCCCACTGGGGCTCTAGGATCGTGGCAGAGGAGAGAAATGTCTCCAGAACCACTTTCCCAAAACTTTGCTCATCATTGCCAGAGCTCCTCCTCCTGCTGGCTCTACAACCGGCTAAGCGTTACGGCATCAGGCCTGCGGATTGCCGATCGCACCCCTCCAACTCTGCCCTGTCACTCAAGCGCTGATGCTTCTCTTGCTGAGACTGCCGTGGGGCGGGATGGGCAAGGCTAGGCCAGCGGCAGTGGGTGTCTTGCACAGTGCCCTTTGGGGGCACCGGGCCATGCTGGCCCCCAGAAGCAAAGGCAGGAGAAACAGTGCTTCTGACTGACCACGAAAGCCACCCACGCCAGCTCAAGCCCGATCTCTCGCCACACAAGGGGAAGTGAGCCACACCACCTCAGGATCCAGGAGGGGGAGGGCGCAAATTGGTGGCCTACCACATCAGTGGGTTGGACCTCAAGGCCTTCTTGGCCCCTTCCAGCTCTACCCTTCTATAATTCTATGAGTGGGGATCGCATTTTCCTAGTCCTCTTCTCTGGGAGAAGCAAACAAGCCCCACAAGAAGAAAATGAGCACAAGTAGCGAGCTAAAACCTTGCTCCCCGAAGCAATGGGGCCTTTATGTTTTACAAGCTGAGGAAGCTTGAAAAGCAGCATCCTCCCCCCACTGCGCACCCACCCGCTGCATCCTCAGCCTCTAAAGGTCCCCACTCAGTTCCATGCTGGCCAGACCAGGGCTGTGGCACCCCTCCCAGAATCCGGCTCTCCTGTGCTCAGCAGACTTGCGCCTCCTTCAGTGCCAGCTTAGACACTGAGCTGAGCCGAGATCACTGGTCAGCCCCAGCGGAACCCCTCGTTGCATCGAAATGCTCTCGTGCATGCAAATACTCTCGTGCATGCAAATACTCTCGTGCATGCAAATACTCTTGTGCAAAGCATGCAAATACCCTCTTTGCATCGAAATACTCTCATGTGCATCTTACACACAAAGCACGCATGTGAAGCCAGGACTGCCCCTGCACAGCAGGAGTGTGGGCAGTTGTGAGCTGGCCCACCACAACCCGCCACGGGATTCGCTTCCTGCCGGGCACCTGCATGAATGCTGGGTGCACCCAGCCCGACTCCGGAAGCGCACCAACTCCCGGGAGAGCCAAGGATCCCCACCTCCAAATGGGATTCCTCACACCCCCTCTGTAAGGCAGGCCAGAGCAATTTCGCAGCACAGCGGGGAAGGCAAAGAAAGTAGCCCGCCTGAAATTGTCCTGATAGGCTGCTGCCTGCCTAGATATTTTGTCTGTAAGCTCCTCCAGTTTTTGTGACCTCCAACGGATCCCTTTGACAACAGTGCCTCAAACCCTTAATGAGTAATAGAAGAATTCCATGTTTACAAAATAATGGGTGAAACTATAAATTACTATTACGGGAAGCACTCAGCTTAGCTCGCTGAGCACCTCTCAATGTTCTTGCCAGCAGAGCATTACTAATTCGGGGCTCCACTGCCATCGTGTCTCAAGCTAGAAATGTTGCCGCTGCAGATGAATTCCTGCTGTGCTTTTGCAGATGAGAGCTCTTTCTCTCCGTCCGCCAGTACTCGCTCTTCAGCTGGCCTGGTAGAGGCAGCTTGAAGAGCTCAGCAATTCATGAATGAGATTAACAAAACATGCTTTGCGGCTGCCAGCATTTCAGAAAGGGAAGTGTCATGATTGCTTTTAAGCCCCAAGAAACCTTTGGTGGTGTTTGACTCGGCTGCTGACATCAATCACAAAGAGGGCTGGGACTCCATTAGCAGGTGCTCGCCTGAGGCACAGTATATACTACCCCCACCCCCAGAACTGCCCACATCTCCATTTCCCTTAAATTCTCTGCTCCTGCCCTGAGAAGCAGCTAAGGAGTCCCCAGGAGGCAGGGTGAATTCATAGAAACATAGAAACAGAGCGAGTCAGAAGGGGCCTCCCGGGCCATCTAGTGTGACCTCCAGCTCCAGCCGGCTCTGCTCACGACATGCCCACCATGTGCATGTCCAGCCTATCTTTGAACACCCGCACCAATGGGGCCTCAACCACCTCCCGTGGAAGCCCTTTCCACACCCTCGGGGTCCTGACTGTCAGGAAGTGCTTCCTGGCATCCAAATTGAACCTTGGCTCCCTGAGCTTGGCTCCATTGGAGTGCGTCCTGCCTTCCTCTGCAGGGGAGAACAGGTCTCTATCCATCTCCATGTGACATCCCCTAACATACCTGTATGTCGCCAACAGATGCCCTCTGAGTCGCCTCTTCTCCAGGCTGAAGAGACCCAGTTCCCTCAGTCTTGCCTCATACGGCATCCCCTGCAAACCGGCCTCCAACCTTGTGGCCCTACGCTGCACTGACTCCAACCTGGCTATATCCTTTCTGTAATGAGGGGCCCAAAACTGAGTGCAATACTACAGTTGCTGGCTCACCAGAGTCGTATAGAGTGGTAGTAATACCTCTCTTGATCTAGAAGCTACACTTCAGGCTATGCAACCAAGGGTGGCGTTCGCCCTCTTGACCACCGCATCACACTGCTGACTCATGTTCAGCCTGCAGTCGACCAGCACCCCGAGGTCCCTTCCACAAGTGCTGCTCTCCAGTTACATCAGCCTTCCTGTGGAGCCACAGCAATCCTACATCCAGATCAGCAACCAGATTCCCTTCGGAGTCAAAGTGCTCTCAGGAAGGGCCATCAACAGGCTTGGTGGGAACTGAGCATCTGTGGAAGCTCTAAGGAGTTTAGCAGTGCAAACTGTAGCCCAATGAGGCCTAGCTGACTGCTGGAGGGAGAGAGACACACAAAGTGAGTGTATGAAGGGGGATGGCAGGGAGAATGGAATGAAGAACCCGGAACAGGAATTTGGCCACTCAGGAAGCTTGCTTGGCGATTTGGGGCCAGTCACTCCTTCCCAGCGTCCCCCGTCTCACAGGACAGCAAAGAGAGCTCTCTGCTTGGGTTTGGGTTCCTTGGAAGAGGAAAAAAGGTGCGCCATAAAGGTAATAAACCTGTAAATTCACCAATGCATGCTGTCCTTGTTCCCCCTCGCCCTGTCTGGCCATGCTCTTCTGAGTTTGTGCCTGCCCATGACCCACCCACATCCCAGCCTCATGGTGCCCGCAAAGGCAACTCTACGTAGATAAGTACCAGCCCGCCGCAGACATGGAGGGAAGCGAAGGAGTCGAGGCTGCGGTTCAGCACGAAGCCCGTGTAAAAGCAGAGCCGACTGACATCCACTTGATGGCTGCTCTGGTCCTCGCCGATCTCCTCCACGGAGAAACCTGGTGCCAAAAACCACATGTTCCAGTGCAAAACCAAGTAGAGCTCAGAGCCAGGATCGGGGCCAATGCCAGCGGGGAGGCGGATGAGCAGGGCCTCGGCGGTGGCATCTTCTGCCTGCAGAAGTACAGAGCGGCGTCCTCTCCGGCCTTCCGCGGTGCTGCTCCCTCGGCCCTGCAGAAAATGCATCCGGTCAAGGGGCACCTGCTCCGGGATCACCACAGCCAGCTCTGCACTGGCTGCAAGGGGGACCAGACAGAGAAAAGAAAGGGGCAGATCAGCAGCCGTCAGCAGCACTGGGGCGCCCCTTGCAGATATTCCAGCTCCCCAATTACACAAGCAGCAAAAACACAAGAACCAGCTTTATACTGACTAGGTTCTCGCATCAGCACGAGAAAACAAGGAGAGAAATTTGACTCCAAACCCTGCAGAGCTGTGGCTGCCAGCCAGTGTTGGCAATACCATGCCTGAAGGTCCCAGCGGCTGCGCCAGGGTGCCTGTTTGCACAGCCACGGAGGACGAATAAAGCATCTGTCCTGCCGCACGCTTGCATCCGGTTTGCCCAGCTATCCTTTCTGGCAGAGCTGGCCATGTTGTGCAAGTCCAGTGAAAGCGGCCCATTGCCCTGGTGCACAAGCCGTCCCAGGGCCCCCGTGATCTGTTCACCACGGCCGGAGGAGAGCTGCACAACGCAGCAAGCTGGGCTGGAAAGGGCACTTGTGCGGATCCGCCCAGCGTGCACACCAGGCAAAGTAAGTCCCTGGCATCTTTGCCTCTCTGTGATTGCACAAATCAACCAGACTCCGGGGCCGTCTAGCCAGCCTTCCTGGCCCTGGCTGGCTCTCCAGGGCTCCGGGAAGACTTCTTCGGTCCTATTGGTGATGGCAGGGATGGCATCAGGGAACTCCTGCATGCAAACACGCGTTCGGCCACACCACTACAGCCCCTCCTTTACAACTCTTCTCAATTAATAGTCAGGTCTTAAGCTGAGCCAAGCCCCAGGGCTTATTTCCAGTGCTGGAGCTCAGGAACATTTACAACACTGCCTCTGAACCTATTGCAAAGTGAATTTCCTCCAACTGCAGCACTCTATTGATACCTCCTGAGAAGACAGGCTTCTCTGCTCAGAGGATGCAAATCCAAGACAAGAATCATCTCCAGTATCTTTTTTTTCTTTTTAAAAAAATGGATCCCTTGTTATGATTTATATAGTAGGCCTCCTTCTCAGAATTTCAACAGCTCCTGTTGGGCTACAGATCAGACTTGCTGAGATTTCTTAAAGGAGATGTGAGCAAGCCAATTCCCCTTGCAAGTTTCTCTGTTCCAACCCGGGATGTGTGGGGGCCAATGGTGGTTACTCTCAGTAGTGAAGGAAAGCACTCTGCACATGTGCAGGGGCCCCTAGGAAGGAACATAGCAGGCTGCCTTATGGCAAGCCCAACTATGCCTCTTTCCTATGCCTTTAATAGAGTCTGTTCTGACTGGCAGCACTTCAAGGTTCAGCACCTGCTTTTCCCTGCACGTCAGTTGCCGGCATCATCATGTAAGGCTGCAAAGCCCCCTGCCTGAAACCTTGGAGCCCCACTGCTGCCAGTCAGCGCTGGCAACGTTGGGTGAAATGAACCAAGGATCGGAGTCAGCACAGGCGGGCTTCCTATACTCCTGGATTTCAGGCAACGGTGTTCCCCAGCATCAGTCACCAGATCTTCTTTTCCTTAAACTGGTGCTGATGGCAGAGTTTAAACCCAGGACCTTCTGCATGCAGGGCTAGGCTCCTTCTTTTCACTGATATCTTGAAAGGGCACCTTTCCCCAATCTCATGCCCTCCAGAATCCCCCAGCCAGCTCACCCAGTACACCCACCCACAGGCAACCTCCGTGCAGCTATTGATGGCATTCCGTTCATAAAACAGGCAGAATTTTTTTAGGGTTGATTGGAAGCTCGCTGTCCTCATGCCCCACAGATCAGGCACGAATTATCAGAGATTGCTCAAGACCCCACTGCCGCGTTGTCCAGCCATGGGCCTGGATTGGCTCTGCGATGTGCCGTCAAGCCCTCCCTGACTTCTGGCGACCCCATGGGAACCCTCCAAAATGTCCTGAGCTTAGCCCTGCTCAGCTCTTCCAAGCTCAAGCCTGTGACTTCCTTCAGGGGGTCAGTCCATCTCCCACGGGGCTTCCCTTCTTCTCCCGCCTTCAGCGCTCCCTAGCATGGTTGCCTTCTCCAGGGACTTTTGCCCTCTCATGAGTGCCCAATGCAGGACACCCTCCGTCTGTTCAGGCCAAACTGGACTTGCACTCCAGACGCCCCAGAAGGGCTGGCAGCCCTTTCCAGGCCCAGCCATTTCTCAGCGGCATGCAGCTGACCACCACTGAGAGCAGAATGCTGGTTAGGGGCACCATGGCCTGAACCAGCAGGCCAGGAGCTTATCCTCTTACAGCCAACCCTCCGTGCGCATCCAGTGCTAATTCAGCATGCTTATTCAGCTCCAAAGTTTTGATCTGCCAAGCCCGGGAAAGCAATCCAATTTATGGAAGAAATCGCATGATTTCTGAAAATCCCCTTCATTTGGACCCATGCAGGTGCTCTCTAGTGCCGGCTAGGGGCTACCTCACCCAGGGTCATTTTTCCAGTCAGACACCTCTGGACACTCCCTGGCAGGGCCTGAATGGAACTGTAACCCGACCCTACTGTTTTGACTCCAGTATCCTGGCACTCAAGAGATATACTGCCCTCGAACATGGGTGTTCTGCTTAATGATCCTGATTGGCAGACTGACCTGTCCTTCACAGTTTGGACATGAACCCCACCCCCTCATCCCAAGCATCACGCAATTCACAGTTCGGTGTGTGCTTTAGGGTCAGGATACCAAACGCCATTCCCAGACTGTGGGATTCCAGTGTTCCTTAAGTCAAACTACAGGCTATTTGATCCTATTTCCCTGGGCTCACCCTCCAAGTGCGACCAAATTCTCCTGGAAGTTTTGGACAGGCTGCAGACAGGGAGGAGAAAAGATACTGTCACCTTTCCTCCGGATTTCAGTAATTACAACTTTCTCCTTTTATTTTTGGAAAGCCAAAGCAAAGAGGGAAGGAACCAAACACGTGCATCGTTCGAGAAAGTAGTTTATATTAAGCACATCTATACAGAAAGAGGAGGCGCCGGGGGAGGGGGGAGAAGAGGGTATTTCAGCAAACCCAGCACCACCACCACCACCACCACCACCAAAAGCACGGCCCAGCAGGACGGAGAGGGTTGCGGAGTTAACACAAACAGCTTTGATCCTGTAACTTTACAACAAGACCAGCCTGGAAATATACAAGCCTGAAAACAGATGCATCCTTTTTGGATAAGAAAAACTGGGATCCCGGCCATACAGGAGAAGGTGGGGGCGCAGGAGGAGGAGAGCGAAGGAAGTTACATGCAACTTCGCCTGCGGACTCTTGCATCTTCCTAACAGGAAAAAGTGTGGTGCACATGCAAGGCGCTTTCCAAGACTCGTGCGTCCCGGTCCGCGCGCGCGCGCACCGCTGGCTGGACGCGCGTGTGTTTAGCGGCTCCTTTGCAGCGGCCGGTCCTGCGGTCGCCCCGAAATGTCAAACCCGCTGAACTGTGGCGGAAGAGCTGCAGCCGCGGGCGAGGCAGAGGAGCCGACCTACCTGCACTGGTGCCCGGTTCGCGCAGCAGCAGCAGCAGCAGCAGCGGTAGCAGAACGGGCGGTACGAGCGGCAGGAAAGGGCCGTCAAACATTTTATTGGAGTCGAGGGGCCCCAGCGCCTGGGCTGTGCGATGTAACCAGAAAGAGCAGCGGAGGAGGAGGAGGAGGAGGAGGAGGAGGCCGAAGAGCCGTCGATGGCAGCGGCCGCAGCAACCCAATCCCGGCTCGCAGCGAAGCCCTCCCAGACTTCGGAAAAATTAATTAGCGCTACAGACAAACTCAACGTGGTTTACAGAAAGAGAGGAAAGAAGGGGGGAGGAGAGGAGGGGGAGGAGAAGGGGGCGAGAGACTCTCCTCCCTTCTTTAGCCGCAGGTGCTGATTGGAGCTTAGCCTCCCGGAGCTACACCCCCCGCCGCTGATTGGTCGTCGGAATTAACACACTCGGGTAAATAGCAAGGGTGTAAAATGAGAAGCGGTACACGTGGGTCGCGGACCAAAGGGAGCGCGACGGCACCAGGTGGCGGCAGAGAGGCAGATGCTGGCGGAGGGGCGGGGGGACCTAGAGGTTCAGGTGGGCTTGGCGGGGAGGGCGGGGACCCCTCCCCCCGCTCCCGTTTTGGCTTTGAACGACCTGCGCGACCTCCAGGAGTTCTGCAGGTGGCGCTTTCCCGGGCGCGGAGATGCAGCGGCCGGCAAAGCTTGCCTGGCCGCACCACCTGTGGCCACTGTCAGCATTTCCGTTGGCCCAGGAGTGTAACCAGCCCGTGATGGGCCTTCCCGAAGCCACCTGCTGGACTTCTGCTTGGCACAGAGAGCAAGGGGCGCTTGGCAGTTGATCTGAAAGCGCAGGTGCTGAACCCAGCTCAGCGGCCACAAGGCGAGGTCAAAAGCTGCAGCTGCTGGGTGACTCGGGTCAACAAGCCGGTTCTGCCAGGCTTCCCCTCTAGTGTGCACAGGTGCTTCGCGGAGGGCCTGGGTCTTGCAGGGGCGCTCCAGAGCCAGGCCACGCCAGGATACTTGGCCTTGCAGCAGGAGCAGCTCGCAGCCCAGCCACTGCGAGGATGGTGGCTCAGCTTGCAGGAGGGGGAAGCTTGAGGGTGGAGGGTGCCAGCATCCTTGCTCGGCCAAAAGGGCAGGAACGGCATCCCTGGGGCTGCTGGGGAAGGGGGAACTGCGCCCACAAAAAATACCCCCTTCCTGGGTGCAGCTAGCAGAGGCGCAGGAGCTGCTGTTCTCATCCTCTTTCCAAACATGTAGCCAGAGGGTCAACATTCAGCTACAGAAGTGAGGAAGTGAAGCCACTTGAGGGATCTGGCTAGTTAGTCTGCAAAGAAAGATGCTGAGACAGGCAGGCTCTCTGAGATGGAGGCTCCTGCAGAGACCCTTGCTCATGCCCAACTCATCCTCTCTCTCTCTCT